AAAACTGAAAGGGTGGACCCTCACCAACACTGCCTGTTTTTAGTCTAAAATCCTGCTAATGGATTCAGTTTCCTGCTAGTTTCAGTTTACTAAGATTAAAACGTCTTTGTGTGTAGATAAACTCATGTCTTTGTATTTCTGTAGTATATGCAGTGCCAAAACATTCCCGGCAATATCGAGCTGACAGTGAATATCCTCACTATGGGCTACTGGCCAACGTACGTCCCTATGGAGGTGCACCTGCCACCTGAGGTTAGTCCTGAGCAAATACTGAGGGTTGATTTTGTACTTCTCAATATAACGAGCATCGCTTTGTAACACCTCTCTTATCTTTGTCCAGATGGTGCGACTGCAGGAGATCTTCAAGACTTTCTACCTGGGCAAACACAGCGGCAGGAAGCTGCAGTGGCAGTCGACGTTAGGCCACTGTGTCTTAAAAGCTGAATTTAAAGAGGTTTGAACTCTTTTCTAAGAATAACCTCGTGTGTTTTGCTCACTCAGTGAGCCAAGGTTAATGCTAATCGTCTCGATGTTTCTTACAAAAGGGCAAGAAGGAGCTGCAGGTGTCACTTTTCCAAACTCTTGTCTTACTGATGTTTAATGAGGGAGAGGAGTTCACCCTGGAAGAGATCAAAGTGGCAACAGGAATAGGTTTGTATTAACACATTAAAGCACTTTTTCATGAAGAAATGGCATCCTCTATTTTTTTCCCAGCCACACTGATCTTTGGGCCTTTCCACAGAGGACAGTGAGCTACGGCGGACTCTTCAGTCACTTGCATGTGGTAAAGCACGTGTCCTCACCAAAATCCCAAAAAGCAAAGATGTAGAAGATGGGGACAAGTTTTCCTGCAATGACGACTTCAAACACAAGCTGTTCAGGATCAAAATAAACCAGATCCAGATGAAAGAAACAGTATGTTTGCTCTTACCGTATTTTTCAGCCTAAATTATCTTTCAAGGATCGGAAAATTCTTTTTAACTTGCCTTTTTTACTCAGGTGGAGGAGCAAGCCAGCACCACGGAAAGAGTCTTTCAGGATCGTCAGTACCAGATCGATGCTGCCATTGTGCGGATCATGAAGATGAGGAAGACTCTGACCCATAATCTTTTGATGTCTGAAGTGTACAGTCAGCTGAAGTTCCCCGTCAAGGTGATAATCACAACGGATTTTCTGTTTTGTTTTGCTTGTTTGTTTGTTTTCTTTTTACCACTCG